CGCTCTCGCTCTCGCTCTCTCTCTTCCCTCACTCTCTCTGTCTCTCTGTTTCTGTCTCTCTCGCTCTCTCACAGTTGGTGTGTGTCTCCTTGTGTATTTATTTACTTACCTATGTTTCAACCCCTCTCCTCATCAAGCGGCTTTCCGTGTACACGCGCACTCCCTGTCCTGTTGTAGAGTCCAAGACACCCCGGGAGAGTTAGAGATGTCTTCGAGTTTGCAGTAGGGTTCGGGGGGCCCAAGGCTTGGCAAGTTGAATGTTTCGAAGGACCTGTTGAATCTGTTCTGTTTCAGGGCGTAAACCCCCAAATCTAACAAAGAGTATACGACTATAACTGCAAAGCTTATTTCGCAATCAGGCTGCCGATCCGAAGGGCTAGAACCCAAGGCCACAGCTACTTCGGCCTGGACGAAGATCAGGTGACGATCCTTGTGCAGGACCGAGTTTGCAGTTTTCGTGAAGGGGGGGTGGGGTCTTGGGGAGGCTACTTAGGACCTAAGTTTAGCACAAGTGCAAGTCCTTAAACCCAAAACGCCTTTAAGTTACTAAGTGAGAGGTTTGTCGTCAAGCTGCTCAAGCGACGAAGTCAGCCCACACCCCCCCCTGCTTGAACACACCAAGCCCTGCGTAGCCTCCCCTTGTACGGTTTCGTCCTTCCTAGCTCCTGATAGGTTCCGTTGCTACCTCCGATATCTCTGTGAGCCTCTGGGAGTATCGGGGATCTTGGCAGCGGCCACCCCGAGTCTGCTGCTCCGAGGGTGTTGGGCATTGAGTTGGGGTTTCAGATCTTTGGCTTTTGCTCTTCTGGACGTTTTTGGGTGTCAAGTTCGGAGTTCAGCTTCAGGTTTCAGGGCCCAAAGTTCCTGCAGCGTTCCTTGCAAAGTGTGGCTGTGAGTTCGGGTTTCCAGCGGCTCTAGTGTGGACCGCATTCACCCGGCGAGGCCTGGGCCAAAAATGCTTGAAGGGCGATTTTTCGAGGCTGTGCGGTTTTCCCCGTGGTTTCCGGCGCTGGAGGGTTCGCTTCTCGAGGTGTTTGCTCCTAAACGCTAGCCGCCCGGAAGCCCAACGGTCCTACGAATTAGCACCAAAGCAAGGAGAAAGTAGCGGCGCTGGCGAACAGCGATGCGCTTCTGAGCATGGCCGGCCCTTACAAGGTTCCACGGTTCTGTCGGGCTGCCTTCAAGGAGAAGGGTGCATGACTCTTAAGAATCACTTCCCACATAGCGGAGGCCCACCTCCCTATGAACTCCAAAGCACCCTGGGCTTCCTTTCTTCGACTCTTGGGCGTCGATAGACTGCGAGCAAAGAAGCAACACGAAACCCTAAACCCCCTATTTCCAGAAAGCCTTCCTTTTCCCAACTAGAGCAAGGGACCCGTGAACAGCACTGAAATCTGAAGAAAAGCATGCTATGCCCCAGGCTGCTTCAGGAGTTGGGGCTTTGGGGTTTTGGGCTGGAGATTTTAGGAGTTAACCGTTTTGCCTTTTACTTACTTACTTCTAACTTCTCGCTCTTCTCACGCTGGGAAGACAGGTAGCAACGAAGCCCCATGGTCATGGCGATGTGCACTTTCTACTGCACTCGGCTGGGTGCTTTGGCCAAAACTATCTGGAGTGGCAGCGATAGGAATCCCAACCCCCTAAGCCTGAAAAGCCTAGACCCTCTTAAACCCGAGTGCCTCACCACCCGAGCGCCCGTGTGGATGTGTGAGTTTCTGATACAACAGGTCCAGGTGTTTACGGTGGTTTCGATCATGGGGGGTGGACCATCCATATATATATATATACATACATACATACATACATACACATATATATATATATATATTCATATTCTACATTTTCACTTTCATTCATGTTAAGTTCCTTCTTAGGAGCCCAGGCTCGTGGAGCGATGGTTGGGACAGGGCCGCAAGTGGGTACTGTTCTTCCAGGACCCAGCTGTGGGGACTCGGGGGTGTCGGGATTAGGCTTGACCTGGATCCCAAATAACCTACCTGTTTGAGGACTTATATAAAGAAATCATAATGAGGACCTCTAAAAAGGAAGGTGTTATAGGGTCCAGGGAGGGTTTTGGGCTTGGGGTCGGACCTGTGGCTAAGGGTGGGTTTCGGTTTACAGCTTTAGCCTTCGGGGTTTGCGGTATTGAGTTCCGAAGTTCCCCCCAAGCCCAGGACACCAACACTCTCTACCTGGCTACCTTCCTGTGCTCTTTGGGTGTGTCCGCTCGCCACTCTTTGGAGGTGCAGTGCTGTGTCTTCGATTTCGCGTCAACATGTTGATAGCTGCTGCATGCCCAACTCCAAACAGCCTGCTGTCCGAATGGAGTGGTCAAGTAGGGCTAAGTAGGGTTTAAGCTTAAAACCTGAACCCCAACCCTCGGACTCAGGACACGTTGTAGAAACCAGTTTGAAGATATCGGCAGGTGAACTCCGTGGCAATGCCCCGAAAGGCCAAAGAAGCCGTCGGATCCATTGCCCGCGCCGCGGCTCAAGAAAAGGGCTGCGAGGGCTTGGAGGAACTTCAGAACGATAATTTTTGCTTTTGGCTGAGGGGTTTCGGGTCTAGGAGTTTATATAAGGTCTTTTGATTTTTGATTTGCTTTCCTTTGTTCTGATTTTGCTGATGCTGTTTGGCCTCGGCACTAGCAAGAGGGTTTGGGGTGTGTGTCGTTTAGGGTTTTCGGACGGGCGGATGAGGGTGTAGGGCACAAGGGTTTGGATGTTCTGAGAAGTTGTCGCAACCGTTTCCCCTTCAAGTCATCGATGCATCGGACTGCGCAGGTTGAGATGGGTTTGACAGGAGCCACCATGACTGGAGTCACTAGAACCATCCTTGACCTCAGCCTTGAAAAGCTCTAGGCGCCCACGCCACAATGTTTAACAACTCAGGTGGGAGTTTCAAAGAAGAAGGGACCTTACTCAAGGACTCAAGGAGACCCCGTTTCAGGAACTCCTTGATAGCTTAGAGATTCAAATCCCAGCTCGCCCGCACCTATGCCACCGAGGCATGGCCCTCTAGGCCCCGAGCCCTTCGTTTCCTGGCATTCTATGCTTTGCAAGGACTTGTTCTGAACAGCTTGTCATCTTCATATTCTGTGCCGACGCGGCCAAAACACCCCCAATGTCGACACCCCTGAAGCTACGGCTCACAAGCAGCTTTCAGCATGAGAATGTCCTAGCATTGGGACCCGGTGGAGATCCAACCGCAGAGCAAAGTTCGATCAGTTCGATCTCCTCACAGATCCTCCGTCACGTGGAACCCAGGCTTAACTCACAAGGACGGCCGCAGCATTGTTGTGAATGTCGAGTACAACCAGCTGGATCCTACCCTGCAATGTGTGTTGCAGGGCAAGACAGCCGAACCTGTCAGACAAAGCAGAACCCGAAACCTTGAATTCCTACATCGCCTCAAACCTAAATCCTAAACCCTAAATCTCACTAACCCTAAACCGTATCTCTAAACCCGAAGCCCTAGATCCAAAGAGTAGACCTAAACCCCAAATCTCAACCCTCCCCACCCACGAAGAACAGCAAGAATCCTAAATTCTAGATCCAGGATTCTCTTGAGACTTGAACAGCCTCAGCTTCCTTTTGAGGTTTCAGGCCCCGGGATTTGGGAGTTTAGGGCTTTTCGTTGTTGAGGGCAGGGTGTGGGGGGTTTAGGGTCGGCTTCGGGGTTCAGGCTGCAACCCCTTCTGTTCTTGCGCTTTGACGGCGCGAGAGACGTTGCGACTCCGGGATTTTGGGGTCAACTGCCTGACTCTCCAAATTCTCAAGCCTGAGAAGCAATTTGGAGCCGTAGGTCCATACCCTTGTGGCAACCCTAAAGCCCATAACCAGACAGGACAGCGGCGTCTTTATTAAAAGCGGGCCCTCAAACGACAAGCCCTGAACATGACAGACCGGCGAATTGAGCCTGCCGTGGAAGGGGTTTGGGTGTTTAGGGTGATGGTCAGGGTTTTAGGTACAGGCGTTAGGGATTTAGTTTTAGGGTTTAGGGGTGGCAAGCAGACCGTACGAAGCAGCCTTGCATTGACAATTGCTCCGCCCAGCTCCCTGTGAAATTCTCCGTTTAACGTCCTGCGACTTCGCTTTGTATGGCCAAGGGATGTTCGTAAAGACCCTAAGCCATGCCAAACCGCAAAACCCCACCCTAAACCCTGCACTCCATGCGTTAGGTGTCTCGGCTCTGCGGTAGTTTCCCTTGTGGTCCCGCTTTGCCCTGACCCTAAGTGTGGCAGCTTTCCTGCCCACGCTGCGATCTGGTCCGCAAGTGCGCAGATCGTTAGCGCCCTAACCCTCGTGCCATTCGCTGCCGACTCTGGTCTGCAGGGACTGTGCCACCTGGCTTAGTGGCCTTTTGCGATCCTGGTTGCCCCTGTACGCCTTGCGAGGGGGTTTTCCTTTGATACTGCCCCACCTTTGAGTGGCTGGCTACTTTTGATTTGCCCCACGGCCTTCGGCCCTTGGGCAAATCGCCTTTTTGGGGGGTGGTTGGACATTTATGTGCCACCCCTTTTTCGTCTTCTACATCTTCGCGGCCTTTATTATCTGTGGCGATACAGAAAGAAGGTGCTGCTCATCGACGCCAGCGGCGTCGACGTACCTACGCTCGACACCTACTCCGGAACTGGTTAGGTGGACACGTGGGTTACCGCCGACAGGCAGTGGTCGGAGCTTGCTTGGTGTTGGAAACACACCACAGCAAGAGCACCCTGCCCTTTCGAGCCAGAAGACAGCTGCAGAGTCGACTGACTGCCATGCAGAGAAACGCTGGCTGGTGGTGCGAGAACTGCAGGAGGAATGTAAAGCAAAACGCCAACTACTGCCCGGCCTGTGGAGGGGCCTGGCAGACTTGTGCCGCTCAACCCAGTTATACTGGAAGGCCTCCCTCTGTTCCATGGAGAGGACAGAGATGGGAGGACGAGCCGAGATCACCCAGATGGCGACTGCCACAATCTCCTCGAAGACGCAAAGGCGGGGAGAAAGGAGCCAAAGGGGACAAGGACAAAGAGACGAAAGGAAAGGGCAAGGGCAAAAGTGGAGGCGAGGACTCCGTGAAGAAGCCGCCTACGGTGGAGCAATTGCCGCCGGGGCCGTCCACTCCTTCGATCTCACAGCCCAAGACGACCCCTGGCTCAGATCCGGGGCCTTCGCAGGACAAGGCCCAACTCGATACCTTGCTTGGTATCCTAGCGGCTTCTTCTTCGACGTTGCCACCAGCGGCTCAGCAGATGATTGCAACCATACAGGAGAGCAGTGTCAACAGTGCGACGAAAGCCAAACACAAGGCCGTGGCGGAGCAAGCACGTGCTCAACAGGCTCTGGCGAAGACCCAGACCCAGCACACTGCTTACCTCCAGGCCTGGCAACAGTACATCACCCAGCTGGCAAGTTTGCTAGAGGGGCAGATTCAGGAGCAGGCGGCTATTTTGGAGGAGTTCGACCAGGCGGAGCTAGCATGGACACAGACCGAGCATGCCGCGACACAACAGCTGGCCAAGTTGACCAGCGATGTGCGAGAGTCCGAGAGTGCAGAAAAGGAAGCCGAGGAAGCGGACCAAGTAGTGGACATGGCCATCGAGCAGGAGCAGAAGCTCAAGGCCGCCTCGGAGGAAAGCCAGCACGCGGCAAAGCGCATGCTACATGCCCTCACGGACATGAGGAACACTGCCGCGGAACAGCTCCAAAAGGCCAGCAGAGACGGCTCCCGGACACCACGGCGACAAATTTGGGCAGCAGCCCCCTGGTGGGGCCCATGCCTAAGCCGGCAGGTTATGCATGGGCCGAATGATCTCCCCGAAAGGGTTGAGTCTTCTATCGAATATGATCCGACATATGTGGGGCCCCGTGCGGCAGCTATGTTGGGAGTTATGCGGGAGTTTGAGATCAAGCTAGACAACTGCTTTGGGTGCACTGTTCATAGCTTGTGGGAGGATCCTAGAGAAGGTCATGTTGACCATCCTGTCCATACCTGCTACGATCGAGAGCTACGGCAAGCTAAGGTCTTCAGCCGCAGCAATACAGGTTCTTCAGGTGGCAAACTTTTCGGCAGTCTGTCTGAGGCCTGTGACTCTTCAGAAGCCCTCGCCTCTGCTTTCCATGATCCTGCTTCGTCTGTGGTCTCCACACGAGCAGTTGATCAAGATGTAGCGAGGTGTGGAGCTCTACCTGAGTGCCAGGTCTCCGGCAGGGGTGCCGAGATTTTTGGCCAAGCGAGTGAGAGTGCTATGTACAAATACCAAGCCGACTCCGTCGGTACCGCCGCTCCTGTACAGGGTAGTTTGGGTGCTACGTGTACAGGATTTCTGGCGCCGGCCCTACATGCGACTGCCTACCTTTTGCGACCACAGGTGCACTTTGATACGGTCACACCACAGCCGAGCTTCTTCAACAGCTGGGTTAAGCAGCTCTGTACTCAAGTGGGCCAGCCTCCGGCCCGGCCTTACCTTGCTGACTACAAGGCAGGTACCTGTCGAGCCTTGGTCAGACCTCGACCCTATCAAAAGGAGTCTCCAGTCCCGGCAAAAGCTTCTACTGCTGAGACTGACAGCCCGCATTGCCTGCACGCCGATGCCCCACTGCCAGGTCTTGTCCAGCAGCCTGTCTTGCCTGTGAGTAAGACAGCACCGACAGTTCGCAGGCCCTCTACCATTGCCTACATGAGGGTGCCCAGCCTACCTGTGGCCTGGCAGAGCACTGAGGACGAGGCAGGAGCTCGCAGATTCACGGTCTTGGAGTCAGGCTCTCGTCCAAGACTTCGGTCATGCGGCGCGGATTGGACATTACATGATATTGTTACCGATGCAATTGCCAGCTCTCTTCAGCCCATCCGCACAGTGCAAATCATCGAGCGCCCCCTGGTGTTTTTGCTGCCGGTCGTGCCACCGCGGAATGTATGGCATCCACCACAAGCACTACCACCACTTCCACTACGACTCCCTTTGACCAGGGGTTTTTTCAGCGTCCTGTGCTGGTGCCAGGAGTCCTTGAGCAGGCTGAGCTCTTGCCGAGTGGTGTGCTCGCTGCGCCAGGAGCTCATTTGCCAATCGCCGACCTCGGTATGTTTCAGCTTGTTACCCGCGGTTCGGCGGGCTGCACTCCTTTTCTCTTCATGGTTCGGGGGTGTGCGCCGGTCCGGCTCGATGGGGCCCGTTCATGGACGCTTTGGATTTCTGTGCGGCAGCGGCTTCCAATGCCGAATGCGTCCCACGGCGAGTGCAGGTCCTGACTTCTCCGTTGCCTGATTTGTTGCAGCCGCAGATAGTCGTTACGGATCGTTCAGCTGACCAGACATCCGTGCTCTTGCCCATTGACTTAAGGGCCGCGCCCGGGGGAGACATTGTACCCGTGCTTTTGCGGCACGGAATGACAGACTCGGATGTGGTTGCTGCAATTGTTGCTGAGATACCAGACAGCAGAGCCTTCTTTGAAGGGGTCACTGTAGGTGCGGATGTATTCTTTCAAGATGCCGAGGGCATTGTGTGGCAGCAGCTCCCGTGTCATCTTCAGACGATACAATGGTTGGCCTTGAGACGCGGCGTCGCCCCTTGTGTTTGCTTCCCAAGTTCGCCTGCCTCCACTACCACTACCACCGCTGGCCCGGACTGGCATGCAGTTAAGGCAAAGGTGTCTGCCGCTTCTCCAGCTCCTTGTCTTGTTGAAGCGGTTCCTGCCCTGCCGCCTCCAATCCTGCAAGGCGAGCTAAAAGGACAGCTTGCTGGTTGTTCCCAAGATGTTCCGACCTTTGCAGAACTTGGACGCACAAATGTTTCTCTTGTCGCAGTGTCTGCCCGTTCGAAGGCTCCACGACGGCCAAGACCTGTTAGGGTTCCTCCGGAGGGCCTACCCCCCAACCCTGACAGAGACCCGCGAACCCCACCAGGTACAGCACGAGGTCCCTCTTCCAGTCGGCCCAGCAACGCCGACATGCTGCGTGCAGCCCAGATCCGCATTTTGCCAGCTGAGGTCGCCGATGCAGCTATTTACACAGCCCCAGTCGGCGCCTTTTCATGGTCCGGGATAGAACAGGGTCCCCACACAGGTGCCTTCCGTTTTTGATGCCCGGCGGCATCACACTGTTGACAGGGCATACGCACATGCCACACTGCAAGAAGTCGTTGCCCTAGCTGTGGCTCATGCCCCCTTTCAAGTCGAAGCCGTTCAAATTCTGACCCAGACCGTCCAAGGCCTGCCTAGGCCTCAGCTTGTACTGAAAGAGGCGGGGCGGCCGCCGCAAGAATTCCCGCTCGTCTGGGATCTCCGGGGAATTCAGGAGCCCGTGCTGACCAGCCGTCATTTATCTCGAGAAATGCGTGACGATGCACTGCAAAAGCTGATGCTGCTGCCTGTGTTTCTTAGAGATCTCAAGGCGGAGTTGTCCCGTGGAACTTTGGCCCTCTTCGACTGTTTGGGCGCCTTGCCTGTACAATTTCCCTCGGATCTATCGGCCATGCAGCATATCCGAGCTACTGCCCTTACAGGACCAAGTGCACCAGCCTCTTCCCACACGGGGCCAGCTCGGCCGACCGGTATACCTGATGTTGTTGGTAGGGGCAACAGACCGAGGATAGGGCCTGTGCGTCAGCATCCGCCTGGACTCCGAATTACAGTGCTGCGGGGGCACCATCGTTTCTCTGTCGACTGCACCTATGACAATGGGGCTATCGACACTCTGGTTTTCGATCTGTTGGTGCAGCACCATACCCAAGCCTCTCTTCCTCCCAACTTTCTGCTTGTTCTCAGCGGCGCCCAGCCCCTCCGCATGGGCTACTATCAGGAAGTTGTTTTTGTAGTTCAGGATGGGAGCCAGACTGCCACAGTCTGGGATGGTCGTCACCTTGGCCAAGAACTACAGGTGAACCTCCATCCGCCGTCGCAGTCAACTTGTCAAGTTCTCGATGCTGATTGGACTAGTAATGGCTGGCGTCTCTTCGTCAATGGCGTGCCGGAAGCCGCTGCCATGCGGCACATTCGTGTTGGTGACTACTTGCAGCCTTGCAGTGGATCTCAATGCCCGGGGGTGGTCCCTCTTGGCAGCCTGCTTGCTCTGTGTCCCATGCTCCGGCCCTACGCATGGCCGCTGGAAGTCTCCTTGACGGGCACCGGCTTTTCAGCATCTCTGCGCAAGCGACGCAAGCAACTCGGAAGCCATCGCATGCCAGAGGGTACGGCACGGATCTACGGCCCGCATCATGGAGAGATATTTCTACAAATCGGCACAGGCATGACCCCTACGGCTCTTCAAGTAGACACGGCCCTGCAGCATCTTGATGGCTTCCCTGAAGGTTTGAATGTCCTGGGCACCCCTACGCGGCACCCACATGATGCTGATTTCGTCACCCGCTACCGCTACCGGCAGGATAGCACTGTGCTAACGCCAGCGCCAGGTCATGCTGGTCATCTCCTGGTCCTGCTCGTGCACGCAGATGCAGAAGTTTTGCCAGGAGTGCCGGCGAATCCCCGCATTATGTTGTACCCGCAGCGGAGTCTCCGACATGGTGATGTGCTCCAGCAAGTCCCAGAACCCCACTTTGTTTACGGGGAAGACTCTGAAGAGGAGCATGTGGTCTCCGACCCTGCCGGCCCCCCGCCGCCTGAGCCCATGTTTGTTGAGCCAGAGGACCCTATCCCCGTCCTTGAGTCCGGAGATGAGCACATGAGCGAAGCTGCCAGCTTCACGCGAGACACTGCACCACAACATACTACATCCTCCAGTGCGCCGGCACACATTTCTGAAGGATCCGGGGGTACAAGTCTGGCTTGCATGCCGTCACATCGCGCCCCACGGCGCCAGATCATCTACGATCAGCAGGCTGAGGGCGATGTACTGCTCTCCCATCGACAGCGCAGCAAGGATGATGCTCAGAGGCTTGCGCGTCGCAGATCTCCTGGCATACCTACCCCTGCGGGTCGACGGTTTCTGACTGCGAATCTGCCTGCACACGCGCCAGAGCAACCTGCAGCAGCCGAGACAGCTGCTGGCGTCTCGAAGGAGGAACCACTGCCAGTGAACGGTCTTACGGCTCATAACCAGGTCGCTCATCCTCAGGTCTTGCAATCACCTCCCCCAGTGATCCCACCACTGTCAGCCTGGGCGCCCTGCTGGCGGTCAGAACTGCCCTTTGTTCCCGTGGGTGCCGCCTATGATGCTGTCTCGCACAGACACCCGCCGGGTGCGTGGCGACCAGTTGCCCTACATGCTTACACAGATGGTTCGGCCTTCCCTGAACTTCCGTTAGGGTGGGCTGTAGCCATCTATGAAGAGTGTGTTAGTGGGGACGCTACGTGGTTGAATTTTCTGGGTTTCTTTGCAGGACAAACACGTACTTTTGCAGCGCAGTGCCTCAACAGCTCAGAACATAACGTGGACGCCGAAGCCGCTGCTTTGGCAGTCGCAACTGCGTGGGCGTTATCGTGGCATGAGACCACGCCGCTGCACATTTGGTGCGACTGTAAGGCGGCTGTTGACATTGCACTTGGCACTGCGTCACCCCAGGCACCTGGCGCCACCCGCAACCTATGGAAGGCGTGCCGATCCATGTGGCAGGCTCTGGAGAGACGACCGGTCCCATCCCAGCTACATTGGATACCAAGCCATGTGGGCAATTGTCCCAACGAACTTGCGGATCAATTGGCAAAATATGCCTGCAAACACGGAGGACCGGCCTTGCCTGACGAGTTTTTTCAGCTGCTCCGGCACGATGCCCTGCCCTGGTTGTGGCATCTTTGTTCGCCCAATTCAGGCCTTCCACCCTATGAGGTTCTCGCTGCTGGACGGTATGAGGAGCCCGACGATGTGCCGCCCAATTGTTTTCCCACCGCGGCACCCAAACAAGTGTGCCCACGTGTCACTCGCGGCAGCCTTGGGTTGTGCACCTTCAATGTTCAGACTCTCAAGAACAAGAAGGATTTAATTAGGCAGCAGATGGCCCAAAGGCAACTACATGTGCTTTTCCTGCAAGAAACACGTTTAGGTGCAGGTACCTGTGCGGCACAAGACTACTGTGAGATCCGAGGACCCTGCAGTCAGGGCAATCTCGGTTGTGCCATCTGGGTTGCTACGAACTCACCTGCGGGACCAGTTGGTAAAAACTGCATCAAGACCCTCTATGCAGATGAGCGCATCCTCATTGCCAGACTTGAAGCACCTTATCTCAGCTGCTACCTTGTGTCAGCGCATGCTCCACATTCGGGCCACCCTGATGCCCACTGCGATGATTGGTGGGCTTCACTCACCAAACAATGCAGGATGTGCTGTCGAGAAGCCCTGCCTATTTATGTTGAGATCGATGCAAACGCGCAGGTGGGCTCTAGGACAAGCACTGCGATTGGCAAACACGCTGCCGATGATGAAACCCCCAACGGCTGCCGAATGCATCACTTTTGTGTTGATCTCGGCTTGTGTGCGCCTGCTACCTTCTCATCGGCGCAGGGCCAACTGCTTCCAGAGGATCCTTGTGCTTATACTTGGACCTCTCCAAAGCAGACCAGACATCGCATTGACTATGTCCTCGTACCAGCCGAGCAGCACGAACAGGTCCAATCCTGCAAAGTACACCATGATTTCGAAAACGCTGGCACAGATGATCACCATCCTGCCAGTGTACGGGTCCATGTTACAGCAGAACAGGCCAGTACAGTTGTGAAGCACTTTCCAAAGCTCAGCTTCCGAACTGTTGACGACGTCCGCCAAGTGGGAGATCAGGTTACTGCACTTCTCCAGCAAGCTACCACCACACCATGGCAAGTCAATATTCACAGCCATGTGCAGCAGCTCGACCAAGCCCTCTGGGGACTCAGTCCGCCGCGCGGCCCCCAGGTGCCTCGCCGACCGTACATTACCGATGCGGCTTGGGCCTGCATACGGGAGCGTAAAGCGTGTACTGCAGAAATACGGCATGCTGCTGCTGGTGGACTCCGAGCCAAACTGCTGTGCGCGCACCGCCAATGGGCCTACGCAGTGGGCATGCGCAATTCTCCCCCAGACCATGCCAGGTTCCAGGCACAGCAGGCCACTGCAAACTGTCGTATTCGCACAGCACAACAGCGCCGTCACAATTTGCTTGTGGACTT